ATTGTTATATTCAATCCCATTAGCTACAGGCATTTTTAAGCTTGTAAATGGAAGATGACAGCTCTACATCCAACTCACAGATGTAACCTTGCTTTGATAAAAGAAATTATTCATATAACCCTTTTAGAAGTTAAGTTGTAGTCATTTGTTTTGGGCATGTCATTTTCGAGCCTGAAACATGAAAAACAGGCTTGGTGCAGGTTAAGACAATGCGTTTTTAATTTGTTATGTAGGGTTAAATTGATGCAAAACACTGAATATATACTTCATGTTAATTCACAAAGTGACTGCTGATAACTAGATGCCCATTAATTCATCCAATCAGTGAGCTTTTGATCGTTTCACATGATATTTTCTTTTGGCTTTTAATGTGTGTTTTTGTATTGCTTTGTATTGCTTTGTATTGCTTTGTATTGCTTGATTTTAATTTGACTTTAACTATATATATTTGTCGTTCTTTTCTTTTCACTATCTCTGTAAAGCGACTTTGAGCACCTGTAAAAGCGCTAGATTTGTTTTTAAATATTGAAGTTAAATGCATCAATCTGGTGCACTTTGAGAGCAAAATGAAGAGATCTATGGATACCTCTCTCAACACCCATATGAAGCAGAACTGTAAACAGATGTACTTTTTCTTTATGGATATTTTACTAATCACTCCCCTTTTAAACTCTATTCTTGTTTTACTGCCATATAGTATTTCATAACTGTTTTTCCTTTATTCTCTTATTTTTAATAACTATAATGATCATATGAAGGTGTGCCGCGGAAATAATCTTTTGAATAATTTGTGACCAAACCGTTTGAGACCCACTGAGATAACTTAGACTAAAGTTAAGTATCTAAACACTCAGAGAGTCCTTTAGCTCACCTGAGTCTCTCAGTCTGAGAGGAGAGGACTCTCCTCCAGCTTCTTGTGGAACAAACAGCTCCTTATGTCCGTTAGTGCAGCTAGCTAACCAGATGCTAACAACACGGTCCATGCTGACACCGGTCTCTCCCTCCCCCTCTCTCCCTCTCTCCCCCCCTCTCTCTCTCTCACATGCGCTATTGCCACACACACACACAGAGCCGAGCTTGAATGACACACGTTTATTTCCATGCAACTCTCTGATTGGTCTGGTGTCATGCCTCTGTTGCATTCACTGAACACGGGAAATTACAGTGCTGCCGTCCTCTCTTGTGTCATGATGAGGTTCACGTAAAGCACGGTTAATGTATTATATTATTGAGGGAGAATTGTCCGGGGCTACAGAAAAAACATTCGGGGCTAAAGCCCCGGATGCCCAGGCCAGGCGACGCCACTGGTGGCGCTACCTAAACTCTGCTGTTCTTTGGATGACAGCTCGACTCACTCCGTGAAGGTATTTCATGTTCGGGATAATTTGTTTATTGTCTAACATTGATTCGTTTAAGTGACAATTGTTGTTGTCTTCTCTGTGAACGTTTTTTTCGCTGTTCTTTTGCCATTTTGAGATTTAAATTTCCAGCGGAAAGCTAACCAGGAAGTGTTTTAGCACACCACGTGACGCATCTGACCGAATCACATTGTCAGAAATTGGCACCAGCCAATGAGATTTCGTTTCTTGGTTTAAGACCCCTTTGTACTTTCACGATTGGTTGCTGATACAAAGGAAATGACCATATTTGGGTCCGATGAGATTGTTCAGGAGGGACGGAGCTTTCCAACGATATATCTAATGATATGGTGCAAACAGCGGTTGCGGTACTTTATGTTACGTTAGAAAGCTAACTTTTGGTGAATTTAGGAGAAATTTACAGACGCAAATAGACAAACTATAGTAAAATAAACACCTAAATGTGTATTTTGTACATTTTCCTTCCAAAAGCCTGAAAGAAAACATGTTATGGAATCAAAATAGCACAAAATCTCAAAATTGACCAGTGCATGAAAAACGATGTTTTTGCCTGCCGTGTCTCGCCTTAAGAATCGGTAATAATTCGAGGAACATTTATGTGTATTTGTGTTTAATTTCAGCTGTTGAAGTGGAAATGGGAGAAGACGTCACATACAGCGATGTCAAAATATCCCAAAGCCGGAACAAGCCAATCAAACAGAGCTGATGTAATGATTGGTTCACTGGGACTGTGTGTGAGTTCTTGTTCATACATCCATGTGAGGACCATCCGGAAATTAAGAATTTATGAGGACACTTAAGAAAAAGATAATTTTCACTTAAATTAAGATCTTTTAGAAGGGAATAAAATCTATAAAGTCAATGTTTACTGGTCCCTAAGGTTTCAGACTGTAGTGAGGTCTATTTTAGTGGATGATGGCGTGTACTGTGTGAGAATGTGTGTTTTGTAACTTGTGGTTAACACAAGCTAGCAGCTCTGCGGTCATTCCTAAAATATTCCTTTAAATACATATACTGTTTGATATTAACAAAAAGAGTGTTACATAAAAATGTAAACTTTTAATAAACAGAATATAAAAATTAACTAAAAGCCATAAATTAAAACGGATAATAAAACTATAAATACAAGAATTTACAAAAAAAATACAAAAATCAATTAAATATTGGGATTTAAAAAGATTAACAATGTATTACTTAATTATTATTAGCTCAGAATAAAGAGTCTTTCATGACGCTTTTAGTATACAAACATACAAAATAATACATACAACAAATATTTGTTATACAAATTAAAGTTTTACAAACATGAAATAGTATTTTTTTAAATAAAGATATTTAAAGCAAATTTACTTACTCTTTAAATAACCTAAAAAAAAACGCAATTTTGTAATTTCACTAAATAATACCTTAAATGTAATAACTATTATAGATTAAATCAGTTCAGTTAGTTTAGCTCTGCACACACACGCTCGATCCTCGGTCCTCGATGTGCATTTAGAGAAATGAGATGTCCTTCAACATGGCGCGCTGAAATTCAATTCCGGGTCACTACCGGAGGACCGAGGAGTCGAGGAGGGGAAATTAATTAAATGAGGAAGGGCCTGTGTGTAGTTTATATTGTGTATATCAAATCATGATGGAAGAAGTACTCAGATACTTTACTGAAGTAAAACTACAAATACTTTGGTTTAAAATACTTCATCACCAGTAAAATAATTAACCTGTTAAGCCCGAGAGACCCCGGTACCAGGGCACTGCCGCAACATCTTGCAGGAAACAGTGTGTGAGGGCATGTTCATTTAATAAACTGTGAATGTTTTATATCCATGTAACAGGAAGAAACTCATCTAACTGATCATTTTTATTTGTATTTGTTTTTAAACCCACAATGCTAACACTGAGCCTCTGAATTAGCAACGAGCGAAAAATGCCAACAGATTACTGCACCGAAAATCACTCACAAAACCTTATTATTTATCTTTTCTCCACATCCATGACATCGTTTCACATCGTGAGGTGACACAGAATCGAAGGGTACCCTCATTATCACTCAATTATACGAAATCGCGACTTTATAAACAAAAACAGACATCAAAACATGTGGCGCTAGGTAGCTAAAAATGCTAACATGGTTACCTTGTCTCTGTAGTCTCTCCAAAGTGGTCTTCAATGGCATTAAAACGATAAAAACGCTGCTGAAATTAATCCATAGGTTAATCCAATGTGTCTGTGTCCCTTTGAAATGATTTCTGATAATCCATGAGCAATAAGACTGCTTTTCCATTTCTAGATGTCAGAGCGAGGGATATCTTCACTCTCATGCAAAACTACATGCGCAAAGCCCTCACCTTTTTGTTTTACAACGTGTGTGTGTGGGGGAACCCCCCTTCGATTCTATTGGCTCTAACGGTCAGAAAGAGGTGTCAACCATCAAAATTGACAAAGGGGGGCCAGAGATATGGAAAAAACCCAATTTCCACCCAATTGACCCCAGAGGTGGAGTTTCTTTTGCTAAACCTCTCTAAAAAGGTCAAATGTCACTTGTTTTGCATCAATCTTGATACAGGGTACTTATTATATCATGTACTTTGGATTCCTAAAGCTTTTAGTCTACCTTACCATCATCCAAGTAAAAAAGAATTTTGGACGGACACTATAATTTACAGTTTTTTGTAAAATCTGAATTTTCTTTAAAATAAAAAACATCTATATTGTTCTGACTTTTCTACATCCAACTCACAGGTTTATCATTACTTTGAGAAAAAATATTATTAATTTAACCCTTTTAGAAGATATGGTCATTTGTTCTGGGAATGTCATTTTCGAGCCTGAGACCTGAAAAACAGGCTCAGGGCTTAACAGGTTAAACATGTTCAGTATTTTTGAATAATAATAAAATATGGATAAAGACACTTAAAAAATATCGAATAATTTAATTCTGTCACACAATTTGTTTGACTAAGTATTCAAATGTATATCAAAATATTATATACCATACCAAACAAATTATATTGGTTACATATACAAATAGATTCATGTAAAATGTACACAATAAAATGTATGAACCATGAATGTTGTTAAGACTTATATATACAAAAACACTTTTAACACGAAAAGTGTATTGTTGTTTATTATTAAGATCATTTTACAGGATTATAATAAGAGGAAGTGAGACAGTTTTTTGTTATGGTCAAAATAATATTGCCATCTAGTGGCGATATTGTTTTGATTATTTGTGAAGTGCATGGTGAATAAAAGACTACAATTCCCATGTTGCAGCCAAATTAGAGACAGAGGTGGTCAACCTGTGTGGAAGATAACGACACAATTATTACAATTATTTAACGTTTATCATCCAACAGAATATATAAAGAGAATCTTAGTTTGCTTCAATAAAAGCTTTTTTGTTGAGCTGTGCCTCTTGTTGTTGTGTTCACTCTGACTGAAAGAGTATTTTCTGAGTCTAATTTGTGTGGAAACTATTTTATTTGTATTAATCGCACAAGTCGAGTAGGCAAGAGTAAAACCTATAACCTGAAGGATTAGTATATGTGTTTCAAAAGGTGTTCAGAGTGGTTGAAGGAAGCGGTGACAGGAAGGAAACGCTGGTGTGGGCTACTTTCAGAGAAACAGTTTGATGTCACATCACAAAGAGGTACAATGGATCCAACAAGTCTTCAACGCCTCGTCTGTAAGTACAATCTTTATTCTGTTAGCATGAGGGAAGACGTTCAGATATCATACAAACATCTGAGAGTTCACTGACCTTCACAACAAGCATCCAGAGTCGATAGAGATGTAACTCTCTGTACTGTTTGGTACGTTCAGGAGAAACTGCAAACTAATATGATTGTTGTGGTGCATTCAAGTTCCTGCTAAAAGAGAAGTCTGGTATTTTCTCAGACTTCTATCCAGTCTGACTCGTGCTAACTTTGCACTACATTCATGTGTTCTAAAAGCACCATACAGACCTGTTGAAGTGTCCTGTGTGTCGCAGTGAACTCACACTAACCTGTGGTTTCTCCTCAGTCCTCACCTCCCTGCTGAGCTGCTCCACTAACCAGGGTCAGTACACTTTCTCCGTCTTAGAAACTCAAAGCTGTGTCTCTGTTGACCTGATGCATCACTTTAGTCTCAGAGTAACTGAACACTTTTCTGTCCTCACATACTGAACTCTGCATTGCATGTTAGATTAATGCTGTTAAATGCTCATTGAAACTATGGGTATTTATAAATGTTGATAAGTATGTAAATGTAGCTTGTAAATATATTGTATGATATCCTCTATTGTTTTATGTTGTTTTATGTTTCATGTGGAACCTAATTGCTGCAGGTCTCCCTTGAAAAAGAGATCTATGATCTCAAGGGACAATCTGGTTAAATAAATGTTTGAAATGAAATGAAATGAATCAGTGAACATATCAGTGGCTTCTTCTTCTTCAGTGTTTTATAAATCTTCCTCCCTGCAGCTCGTCTGACGGTGACTCCCAGCAGCTCTCAGGTATTTGAAGATGAACGTGTCTCTCTGAGATGTGAGGACGCCTCTGATGGATGGACTGTGAGGAGAAACAGGAGCTATGAGAACAGAGCTGAGTGTGGAGTCGACAAGTGGGGAAGATCTGCTGGTTCCTCCTGTACCATCAGCTCCTCTGACCCTTTGGACAGTGGAGTGTACTGGTGTGAGTCCCCAGAGGGATCCACCAGTAACACCATCACCATCACCGTCTCTGGTAAGATCAGCCTCTCTGTTTCCTCATCAATACTAAACATAATTTAAGAAGTTCATCAGAAAGAGGAAACTGGACGACCTCAGAGCTGCTAGCTTGTGCTAACCACAGGGTATAAAACACACATTCTCACACACACTATCATCCACTAAAATACACCTCAGTACAGACTCATACTTCAGGGACTGGCAAACATTTTATTTTGTTCTATATTATCATAATTTAAGCGAAAATTCACTTTTTTAAAGTGTCCTCTTAAGTTCTACGACTCCAGTTGGTCCTGATATGTACATATGAACAAGAAAACATACACACACACACTGTCCCTGAGAACCAATCATTACACTTGGCAGGTAGTGGGTTCATTAATAATCTCTGACATTTGTAATTTATTTATCACGTTCATTCTCCATCTCGTGTTCACATACAGCGGTGTTCAGGTATAGAGTTTATCCTGTCAGAGTAGATGTTGTTTCTGTCTCTGTGTTCAGGTATAGAGTTTATCCTGTCAGAGTAGATGTTGTTTCTGTCTCTGTGTTCAGATATAGAGTTGATCCTGTCAGAGTAGATGTTGTTTCTGTCTCTGTGTTCAGATATAGAGTTGATCCTGTCAGAGTAGATGTTGTTTCTGTCTCTGTGTTCAGATATAGAGTTTATCCTGTCAGAGTAGATGTTGTTTCTGTCTCTGTGTTCAGGTGGATCAGTGATCCTGCAGAGTCCTGTCCTCCCTGTGATCGAGGGAGATGACGTCACTCTGACCTGTAGAACAAAGATGGCCGACCCCCCCTCTGCTGATTTCTACAAAGATGGCGTCTCCATCAGGAATGAGTCTGATGGTCACATGACCCTCCACCATGTTGCCAGGTCTGATGAAGGCCTCTACAAGTGTAGAGTCCAGAGTAAAGGAGAGTCTCCAGAGAGCCGGCTGTCTGTCTCAGGTGAGGAGCTTTCCTTTGGTTTCAGGACTCATTCCTTCAGATGTTCACCTGACCAGGTGTGATTCTCTCTGCAGAAAAACCTACAACCACCTCTCCACCTCCTGCCTCCTCCCTCCACCTTGTGTTCAGGGTGATCTGCCACCTGGTGGTTTTCTGCCCGTACTGCTTCTCCACTTTCCTCATGGTGTCTATATATCGAGAGAGGGCCACAGGTAACTTCTCTCAGCTTGCACATCTAAAGCAGGGGTGTCCAAACTACGGCCCGGGGGCCAGATGCGGCCTTAAATATAAATGTAAACATATAGTATACAGAAGTATTCATGTGTTAATGAAACCACTTTTCAAATACATTCAGTCAATGAAAGTTGGAAACATTTTCTAACAAATCTTAGTTGATAAGAAAAAAGCCCAATGACTTATTTCCACAACAAGCTTGAAATAAACCGTCATATTTCCTCTTATTATAATCAATCTGAGGATCTGTTTTAAGGGATGAGCTAAACACTCACAAGCATCATGTACCTACATTTGATTGATTTTACTAACTGAACTTACGAGGTAATAAACCTCTAGTGAGCGGCCCAGCCCTTCGTATATTTTTCTGTATGCGGCCGTCGGGAAAGAAGTTTGGACCCCTCGTGAAAACAGTTTGGACCCCCCTGATCTAAAGGGATTTAACATCCACCAAAACTCTTAATACATTTTCTACATGTTCTTTCTGACAACAGGAAGTGACCCGTCCGTCTCCGTTGTGATGACTCCACTCACCCACGCTGAGCAGGGATTGGACGATGACTACGATGATGTCATGTCTGCTGTCACCACGGAGCATCAGTTCTGAAACAGTGGAGGACCCAGAACGCTTCCCTGAGGAACGCCATGTTTTGAACTCAGTGTAATTACATTCAATCATGTATTGACTGATATCGTGCACATGCAATATTATTCCCTTTATTTCTGAAGCAGTGGTCTATTAGCATTAGCAGCTAATGCTCAGTACAAAGAAGATATGCAGATACAAAGAAAACATATACTAAAGTTAAACAATTAGAAAGTTGTAATTTTGGCCATTTTCTTTCACATTTCAGGAAAATCTACTAAACTTTTAAAATCATTGAATTCATTCAGGATTTATCCCAAAAATCTCCTAAAGCTTTTCACAAACATTACAACAGTGATGTATGTATTAAATGTACATCACCATATGTAGAAGTTGTAACATTGTTTATTTTGATAGAAATCTTGGAGAAAATCAGCTCCAGGATCTTTATTGACTTATTGACGAGTGTCTGCTTTCTGTCCCAGAACTAAACCTGGAGAAGTTCAGTTATTCATCTCCAAATATCTGGATCAAACCCCCAGAAACCTGCAGGTCCTTTTAAATCCAGACTGAAGACTTCCCTGTTTGCTTTGAACTGAACTATTCTTATCTCACGATGCACAGTAACTGTTATTCATGTGTTGTATACCTGAGTTATTCTATATCAGCTAGTTTCATGTTTATTTTAGTCCCTCTGCTTTTGAATGATCTGCTGCATTATTTCTTAATGTCTTTCAGTTGTGTAACGCACTTTGAATCGCCTCGTGTTGAAGAAGCTTTAAATAAACCTGCCTTACAGGAACACTTGTATTTCATCATTAGGGTTTGTTGTGTTGGGTTTCCTTTCCCTCTCAGAGCAATTATATTAAATACTCCTTCCAAAAAAATTAAGTGTAGCTTATTATTTATTCTATATTCGTATATTTTCCTTTAGTTATAATAGTGTTTTTTGGAAAAGGTAGTGTATTATATATCCAGTAGTAGGTGGTAATGAAAAACCTGAGCACATTAATCTGAGAGAGATGAGTTATTGTTTTCACAACGTCATTCCTGATTATTTGAGAATCCTTTGAGTGGGTTAAGATCATTCTTAGATTAAGTGAGAAATGGATGTAACTTTTGAATGTCTGCAATAATCAATGGCATTAATAATTAATATCTCATTCTTAACTGTGAATGGTTTTCATTTATTTAACATTAGAAATGTTTTAGTCTGGCCAAACTCTCTCTGATGAGATTCCTGGAAAAGGGAAATGACATAAAAGATTTTTCATAAAAAAAGTTTCAAAAACAAAACTCTGTTATTGGATCTTTACGGACGTCAGATGTCCTGTTGGGTATTCAGCCCTCCAGCGCCAGGGGGCGATGTGGAGCTCAGTAAGACCTCCATTAAACCGCAGAAGAAGAAGAAGAAGAGTGTAAACAAACCACCAGCCGGCTTTCTGTCGCTGTTTCTGCGTCAAAGTGATAAACTAAGAGGATGCTGAGCTCCAGCAGACGGGATGTTAGCGGGATCTTCTCTCTGGTACCGACACTAACGTTACACTTCACCCGTTAATCCCCGTTATCCGTTCAAATGAAGAGATTAGGTGACCGATAGAAGCTAAGCTAAAGGTTAGCCTGTTTTAGTGGCTCTTTATAAAGCTTATAATCAGCGGTGTAAAGAAACTAAAGTACTTTTTAACTCGTGAGGTTTATGTGTACAGACTTGCTGCTGTTTAGAGTTTTTATTTTATCATGTTTGTACTTTTTCCACCTTTTAAAGATGATAAAATTGGTGCTTTATCATAAAATATATTATATATAGATAGTAACACAATGTACATTTTAAAAGCAATATATGCCTCTCTTGATGTTCACAGGGTTTATTTAGATGTCTTTTAATTATTTTGTATTATTATTCTTCCTCTTCTCAGGCGCTTCTCTCTGTGGTGGTTTTATCATGGACGTTCGTCATCTACGCCAGCAGGGTGGCATCTGATTGGCTGCTGGAGGAGAGGACCGCCCTCCTGCAGCAACACTGACGTCTGATTGGCTGCTGGAGGAAACGACTGCCCTCCTGCAGCAGCACTGACAGCTGATTGGCTGCTGGAGGAGAGGACCGCCCTCCTGCAGCAGCACTGACAGCTGATTGGCTGCTGGAGGAGAGGACCGCCCTCCTGCAGCAACACTGACGTCTGATTGGCTGCTGGAGTACCTGTGAGTGTATAGTCTTAAAATCAAAACTAAGAAATATGCTTTATTTATTTTATAATTTGTCCTGTAGTATTTTTGACTTTTTATTTTAATTAGCCAGAATATTTATATTGTTTTGCTTAGATATCATATTTTTTCATTTTATATCTATCTCTCTCTGAGTGTTTTCTGTTCTCCTCAGGCTGACGGATGTTGATCCTCCAGAACCTCAGAACCTCGTTATTAAAAACCCACAGATCGCTCTGACGGAAACTCAAACTCTTCTGAAGCTGCGATTTAAGGATTCAAAGATTCACGAGGATCTCTCAAACTCTTTCTGTTTGTGCATCTGGGTTTTTACAGACACTTAAAGGGGACCTATCATGCAAAATGCACTTTGTGATGTCTTTTATACATCAATATGTGTCCCCGGTGCGTCGGGGAACTCACGCAGCGTCAGAAAATAAAACCCTTTCTCTTTTCCTCCGTACCCACATCTTTTAAAAACAGGGGAACAACGAGCGGATACAGATTTGCTGCCGATATGACGTAATTTCGGACGGTGGACCCGCAGAGAGTTGCTATCAGAAACAATGCCTGACGTGTTTTGGACGTAATCTCGTCTTTGTTTACATTAGCCTCGCTAACACTCCGAGCTAACCTGTACTGGAGAGAACATGTTTAAAAAGCAGGAAATAAAAAAAGGAACTCACCTTGTGATAAACCAGAGAGAGAAAAAGCATTTGAGCTCCATACTGTTTCAGAGATAATCCTTGATGTGGTTTAGAACAGGATGGCGTTTTATCACAGCAGAATTTAACTTTGTCTCCGGAGAATTCTGATCAGGCATTAGCTCCGCCTCCTCTTTTTAATTTTTTTAAGCTAAGGACTTTGATGGAAACAATAATCAATGAGCTGAACATCGAGTATAGTCGTGATATCTGATCGTCTTCTATGTCATTAATAATGTTAGATATTATTATATATAAATTAAATGAACGTTAATGAGCAGTGAAATACAGAAAGTAGATCCTCTGTTTTATAAGTCATGTGACGTTGTGATCCATGTTATCATATCCCTCCACCTGCTGGGTTTTTATTTCTGTTTTTCACTTTAATTAATAAACAGTGATGTAACCTCGTTAGCGTCAGGAAGCTTTATTTCCTCCTCCTGCGCTCTGATTGGCTGAAAACACAGACGTCCAGCAGCAGCCAATCAGATTCACTCTGAACAAAGAGCAAGACAAATGAATGGAAACGCATTGAGAGGGTCCTGTGATGTATTCAGTAAATAACACACACACACACACACACACACACACACGCACACACACACACACATGATCACACACACACACACACGATCACTCACACACACACACACACATACACACACCACACCACACATACACACCACACACACACACACACACACACACACACCACACTTCAACACACAACGCACCACACACACCACACACAATCACTCACAACACACACCCCCCAAATCAACTACACTCACACACAGCACACACAACACACACACACACAACTCCAACCACCCACCTTCTCCAACCACACGCACACACAATCCTCACACACACCACACTACTATCACTCAGCACACAAACCACATACACACACAGCACACACAACACCCTCACACACACACACCCACTCACACACACACACCACTCACACACACACACACACACACTCACACACACACACACACACACACACACACACGCACACACACACACACACACACTCACACACACACACACAATCACTCACACACACACACGATCACTCACACACACACACACACACACACACTCACACACACACACACACACACACCACACACCCAACCACACTCACACACACACCCAACACTCGAAACACCACACACACATACACACACACACACATACACATACACCACACACCCACAATCTCACGCAACACAACACACACACGATCACCACACACTACACAAACACACACACACACTCACACATACACACACACACACACACTCACAACAACACACACAACCCACTCACACACACCCACACAACACTCTAACACACACACACACATACACACACACACATACACCACACACACACACACTCACACACACACCACACACACTCACACACACACACACACACACACACACACACAGTGTTTTGTGATGATCAGTGTTTGAAGTCCTCTGATATGTAAATGCTGTCTCCTGATTGAAAGGAAAGCAGACGCTCTCAAAGGTGAGTACTCATACTATTAACACACACACACACACACACTTCAAACACACACACTTCACACACACTTCAAACACACACACTCTCTCTCATGTGTAATTAAAAACCAGCCTCTCTCTGTTTCCAACATTTTCTCTCTCGTTCCTCTCATCAGTTTTTAGAGTCTACTGGCGCGTTTCCACTACACGGCCTCGCTCGGCCTCGCTCGGTATGGCTAGGCCTCGTTAGGACTGGCTCACTTTATGGCGCATTTCCATTACAGTTTAGGAACTGGGGTAGTATCTATAGAGTGGCGAAGTCACGCCCACTTACTTCCGGGTAATGGGACCTTATTTCGGAAAAATAATGTATTGAAGTCAATGGGGAGAGAAAACGTATCTTTCGATCCCGTTTGAATTGTGCCATGAATTACACATATGATGTTTATCAATCTTAAAAAATAATTTCCATGTAAAAAAAGTCACAGTTTGTCGTAAAACTGTTGAAATATAAGACTATGAAAAATACGTAACTAGAAAGACTACAAATCCCAGAGTCGCGTAAGTGATGTCACAATTGTTTTCCTCCACTAAGAGATAGCTAAGATCAGCACCATATAGATATAATCTATCTATATGGCGCTGGCTAAGATAAGATAACTTTAACAAGATGCCTGTGTGCTTAGTACCAGGTTGTTATCATACCAGCAATGGGTCTTGCTCGTTCTTTTGCTTCCCGTCTGATGAAAGGACCAGAGTGGCTTGATCAAGTTAGCTACCTAGCTAGTAGCTAGCACGTTAGTTAGCATTACAGCCTTGTCATTTGTATTAGCCTTAACATGAAGTAACATTAAGTAACCCAAAGTGTTAAACAGTAAGAGTAGTAGTCATATTTCGTGAACCCTTTGAAGAGTACTGTCACCGGTGTGATCATTCTATAATACACCATTTAAGCCCGGGGGAGAAATGCTAACGCTAACGCTAGCGATCTTCTCTACTTCATGCTATCTGCACAAATGGTTGACATTAAACATTAAAAAGACCAGGCAGTTCAGAGAGAATCAAAGGAAGGCAGGCAGGCAGCTTTGCATGACTTTCTTCAGGACGTGTTTCATTGTGGTGATAGTGAGGGTAGTCAATCGTTTTGTTGAGACAGTAGTGACGGCCATCTTGGTGACGTGTGTTGTTGACCAGAGACGTAGTTCATTGAGCGTTTCACACAAACAAATGTGTTACTTCACAGTTTTACCACACATTTTTTTTTTTTGACTTGCAAAATTATCTTTTAAATTGACAAACATCATATGTGTAATTCGTGGCACAATTCAAACGGGATCGAAAGATAATCTTTCTCTCTCCATTGACTTCAATGCATAATTTTTCCGAAATAAGTTCCCATGGAGGTCCACCGGAAGGGGAGGGACTTCGCCACTCTATAGTAACGCAGTGTAGGCGGAGCCGTGACGTCCTCTTCAATGAGAACCCCAGAAAAACAACACAGCCGTTAGCTGTTAGCACTCAGAGCTCACAGCTCCTCATATCTGTTCAGAAACTAGACAAAAGTGAAACAAGTACAAACCACAGACTGCCTGTGTCATGGTGAATACAGTCGCTGCTTTATTTATGTCTGTATAGGCCGTTGTTGAGAGTGTGGACGGTGCGGAGCATATACTGCGTTAGCTTAGGCCGATCTCCATTTAGAAAACACTGCAATTTAAAAGGTTTGTCGCCTGCCGTCTGTCTGCAGACTTGACAAAAGCAATTAATTCATGGTGTTTAACTAACCGGTATCAGTATGTCGTTACGCTTCGGCATTCATTTTGAAAACGTGTATTAGCAATTAAAAAAATCACGGTCAAATATGTTCATCTTGTTGTAGGTTGTAGCCGCCCTTGATCACACACACCACACACACACACACACACACACACACAACACACACACCACACCACACACTGCCACCAGATGATCACACACACACACACCATCGCTAACATAGTATCACAACACAGACACTTCACACACAGCCCCACAGCTCTAACAGATGATGCACACACAACACACATCACAGCCCACCCACACCTCACACAGAGCACACACACACACACACACACACACACACACACACACTCCACCAGATGATCACACACACACTCCACCAGATGATCACACACACACTCTAACAGATGATCACACACACTCCACCAGATGATCACACACACACTCACCAGATGATCACACACACACACACACCACACACACACACACAACACTCCACCAGATGATCACACACAACACACACACACACACTCCCCAGATGATCACACACCACACACACACACACACACCACACACACACACACACACACACCACCACCCACACACACACACACCCCACTCTGTTAATTAGGGGAACAGTGAAAGAGTCTCAGCATGTCTTGGCGTCTGAATAATGAAGTAAGGGAGCCAGCGAGGGTCAAACTGAGACGTGTTCATTTGAACTCATTCAGGCAGTTTTTATATTTATTATTATATATGTTCAGTACATATAAATCTGTTTCTTTTAAATGCATTATTACTTTCATTAAAACATTTCCGGGGGCGTAATCCTTTCTTCGTCACACGGTGAAGTTCAAATGTTAACATTAACAACATGTTGTATTCATAGTGTGTGTCTCATGGTTCTTACAGACTTCACATGCACAGATTAACATTATAATAAAAACACAGAAAAACACAGAAACAACCGAATATTCGCATCGCGTCCGGTGTGAACGCAGCATGAGCGTCATAATAACACATATCAACAATAAATACTTGACTGCAGGGTAGCACAAACACAACACTCACAAATTAATACTAAATACTATTATTGGAGTTTATTTATTAAAACTGTTAAAAAATAATAATATATTTTATATTATTATTTGTATTTCTTTCAGTTAGTATGATTTCACATTTTACTGTTATGGAAAATATTAAAGTATTTGTTTTTACAGGTTGGCCTTTTTGTATTGTTCTAGTATTACTTGAGATGTTTTTTTAAATTATTTAGTATTCATATATATTAAGTGTTTTTTCCTAATTCTGTAAAAATGTGTATTTAATTTCTTGTTTCTCTGTAATATAGTCCGCTCACATGATACATATAATTGTGTTAAATAAACATCTTACATAAATAACTTGTCTTAAACTAAAATCTTACACTTTGACTGAATTTAAAGAATATATATATATATATATATATATATATTGAATGTATTTCCCTCGTCAGGCGAGCTGCAGGCTGCCGTCGGGCAGACTCCCCGGGATGGAGGAGAACAGCTGCTCTTCCTCCTCCTCTTCCTCCTCTTCTTCTTCGTTGGTGTGTTTGGTCGTCTCTCTACAGTTCTTCTTCTTCTTCCCCTCCAGCCAGTACGTCACCATGTCCCCTTTCCCCTTCACACAAATCATCATCATCATCATCATCATCATCATCATCATCATCATCATCATCATCATCATCATCATCATCATCAGGTTTATATTTCATTCACAGATGAGTTTTGTTCCTTGTAGATTTATGGATTTAGAGAATAGCCTCTGGAATATTTATTATTTATTTAATCTCTTTAAACAAATCACAGAAAAATCCCCAAAATGTATGAATTTAATTTAATCTCCAAGAATATCATTAGATTTCTGTAATTTTAAGAGTTTAATCCGAGAATCTTTAATTAAATATGATTAAAAATTTAAAATGTTATTTTCTAAAATATTTGTTAATTCTTGAATCTCAGAGACATTTTTTCATTTCATTTATTTATATTTTTAATGTAATATAAATACATTTTTCTCATGATTTCATTAATCTATTCTCAGTTGTTTTTCTATTATATTCAGATTTGAATCTCAGAATAAGAGTCTCACCTTCACACTGAGAGTTCCTCTGCAGGTCAGCAGGTATCCTCCGATCTCCTCCAGCAGGTAGAACGCTGCAGAGCTGCACTGGATCTTCAACGCTGACACACACACACACACACACACACACACACACACACACACACACACACACACACACACACACACACACACTTCACGTTATATAGTAATATAAAGAATGAATTATATATATAACTTATAGAGAGTTCTGAGTGTACCCAGGCTGGTGGACTCCATCCTGGACGCCGTGTTCACCGTGTCTCCAAACAAAACAGTAACGAGGCATCTTCGTCCCAAACGACCCCCCGCCACCAACCGGACCTACACACACACACACACACACACACACACACACACACCACACACACACACACCACACACACACACACACACCACACACACACACACACACACACACACTAGTTATTAGTACTGATGATAACAGACCTGAATTTATTAATTCAGTGTGTGTGTGTGGTGTGTGTGTGTGTGTGTGTGTGTGTGTGTGTGCTGTGTGTGTGTGGTGTGTGTGGTGTGTGTGTGTGTGTGTGTGTGTGGTGTGTGTGTGTGTGTGTGTGTGTGTGTGTGTGTGTGTGTGTGTGTGTGTGTGTGTGTACCGGAGTGTATCCCCGCTCGTATCTGCAGCAGTGTGTGTGTGTGTGGGATCCTGAAGCAGCTGCAGACCCCCACCAGGTCCAGAGCCAGGCTGCTGATCTCTGCTGCGTGCTGCACCCCGTTCTCCTGAGGGACCCCCGACACCACCATATCTGACACACACACACACACACACACACACACACACACACACACACACACACACATACCAGCAGTTACATATATATTAAACAAAGTATTTGTTAACTTGTAATGCTAGTTGAAGATAGACATTTCTAAATGTCTATAATTTTGTACAATGTTTCTAGTTATTGTGATTTTTTTAGCTTTGTTTTTAATTATTGTTTTTATTATTTCAATCATATTGTGTTATTCTCTATTGTTCCACACTTGTTCTAACATTGTTCCACATTGTTTCCCTGTACCGCACCTTGGTCAACTGAGGTTGTTTTAAATAAATAAGATTGAGATTGAAAGTAGATAATGGAATAATTTGTATACCTAAGTATGGTGTGCCGTCACGAATCAAAACCAACAACTGTGTGTGGTGTGTGTGTGTGTGTAGTTGTGTGGTGTGTGTGTGTGTGTGTGTTGTGTGTGTGTGTGTGTGTGTGTGTGTGTGTGTGTGTGTGTGTGTGTGTGTGTGGAGTGAGTGTGAGTGTGTGTGTGAGTGTGTGTGTGAGTGAGTGTGTGTGTGTCTCACAGGCGTCTCCGATGGTCTCCACCTTGTACACATCGTAGTTGTCGATGATGTCGTCGAACGTCGTGTAGAGTTTGTTCAGGAAATCAACGATTTGATAAGGAGTGCTGCTGCTGGAGAGCTGAGTGAAACCTACGATATCACTACACACACACACACACACACACACACACACACACACACACACACACACACACACACACACAGTAAACATTTGGATAAAATTACGTTATTTTCATTCTAAATATCCACTTTAGTGTCTTTATGTGTGTCTCTCCTAATTGATAAACCAGGATCAATTAGTGTTAATTGACCGGCCTAAGTGAGTGTTAATTGAACCTGAAGAAGACGGTGGCGCTGACGTAGCTCTGAGCCTTCAGAGGTTTCCCCTGACGCAGGTCGTCTGCCACCTGTCTGGGGAGCATACCTGTGAAACAATAACAGGAAGTGGTCGTCTCAAATGATCATAAAATCATACAGACTCTGATTGCATTGAAAAGGTCCATGAATTGTACAAAATTGTCCAATTCATGGACCTTTTCAATATAAATAAAAGTCCATCAATTGGACATGAAGCAGGGTTCAATACCTCACGTTCTTACCCACACTAAAGCACTCCCCTCTCCCCCTCTCCCTCCAGGTGCAGCAGCCTGGTTCTCTGGGTACTCTCTGTCCATATTAAGACACTTTTTAATCACTATTTCTGCCTTGGAAAGTGAAGTTCTCTCCACACTTTTTCCCTTAAAATGATTTTAAATCATTATTTTTTGCTATTAAATGCATTTATTTGATCATTAATATGGTTCCCTGAAACAATGCACATACTCTGGAGCTCACTGGGGTCCTGCTTCAATCAGGCAATTTAACACGTCTTTCCATGGAAATGATTTGTAATCACTATCATGGGGCTATATAAATCCTATTTAAACCAAATGTGTGTGTGTGTGTGTGTAAGTGCGTGTGCGTGTGCGTGCGTGCGTGCGTGCGTGTAGGTGTGTGTGTGTGTGTGTGTGTAGGTGTGTGTGGTGTGTGTGTGTGTGTGCGTGTGCGTGTGGCGTGCGTGCGTGGCGTGCGTGCGTGCGTGTGTGTTGTGTGTGTGTGTGTGTGTGTGTGTGGTGTGTGTGTGGTGGTGTGTAGTGTGTGTGTGTGTGTGTGCGTGTGCGTGTGTGCGTGCGTGTGTGTGTGTGTGTGGTGTGTGTGTGTGGTGTGTGTGTGTGTGGTGTAGTGTGTGTAGGTGTGTGTGTGTGTGTGTTACTAGTAAAGCAGCCGGTCAGGATTTCTGTTTCTCGTGCGGTCAGGTCCTGAGTGCCTCTCGGCACCAGAACCCTCCAGGTGTTTGCTGTACTTCTCCATCTGGAAAACAGAGATTATATATAGAAATAAATACATTAAGAAAAGATGGATCTTTATTTATCCCCGTGGGGAAACTCAGGAGTCAATGATATAGTAACTGTTTAGAAACAAGATATCACAACTAAGGTAAAATAATTAGTATTAAGGCTTCAACTAACAGTTTATTATCAATAGATGTGCAGATAGGTCTTCTAGATTCATGTTAATAAAATAGAGCGTAGACAAATGTCCGTCACAGTTTCTGTTTCTAAAATGGGGGTCAATATGTTTAAAACGTCTGTAAATTTATTTATTTATTTATTTATTTATTTATTTATTTATTTATTTATTTATTTATTTATTTATTGATTGATTGATCACCAGGTTCATCATCATGTCCACCGGGCTGACTTTGATCGGGTTGACCCGGTTGACAAACTTCTTGATCTGCTCGAAGGTCGGCCGGTGAAACGGATTCTGAGAGCGACATCTCCGGATCAACTATGGAGACACGGGAGGGACAGAAAGGACGGGAACAGAACATTATTTAGAGTTGTATCATATCACAGGAGGGACAGAAAGGACGACAGGACAGGTAAGAGACACCTGTGTTTATTAGGAATGGGGGTTCACCTGTATCTGTTTAATGGAGGTAAACAGACCAAATGTTGTATTTATTTTATTCCGTTTTCACAGATTTTGGTGTAATTCCTTCTATTACAAGAGGGGCAGTATCTGAGGTGATACTTGTGTTTATGAAATATACAAAAACTATAACCATTGAAGTAAAAGGTCTCAACAATGTCCAAAAAAGACATGACATTAAAGTCCAGCTAAAACGTTAGTGAATTATATTATCTATTTTGTAAAAATGTAATAAAAGGACATTATTTACATTTGTATTATCCCAAAACCAACATTTAGTAAGGTAAAAATGTGCTTAAATATAACATATTTAAGCAGTTTTAACCAAAAGGATAATTAGCAAGTCAACAACCAACGGTTTGTTAATCAGTGTATTACTTTACCTCTCTATAACAAACAGTCAACGAGATCATTCAAAATGTAGCTCACAGAAATATAAACTAAGCATCATATTGAACAAGAAATCTCCTTTTACAGGTCAGTCCAATTCATATACAATTAGAGACTTGTGCACAAGAGAAGTGGAATAAAACAGTTCAATAATAAGACATTTAAATGATATAATGCTTAGTTAGAGGTAGATTTAGACTTTTTTTAATACTACGACTAATTTAGTTTTTGTAACGAACAGTACCTCCACGTAGTCTGCGGGACAGGGACAGGTGTTGTCCACCTGACTGGAGATCAGCTCGGGGAGAGGAGGACACCAGGAGCTCTCCAGGCTTGACTCCTCCACCTGCACAAATATACAGGAAGTACACACATCCTTTACTCGAGTAGAAGTACACACATCCGTTACTCAAGTAGAAGTACAAACATCCGTTACTCAAGTAGAAGTACAAACATCCTTTACTCAAGTAGAAGTACACATCCTTTACTCAAGTAGAAGTACACACATCCTTTACTCAAGCAGAAGTACACACATCCGTTACTCAAGTAGAAGTACAAACATCCTTTACTCAAGTAGAAGTACACACATCCTTTACTCAAGTAGAAGTACAGATACTCGTGTTTAAAAATACTCTGGTGAAAGTAGAAGTACTGACTAAACTTCTTTACTCAAGTCAAGTAAAGAGGCTTTGAAATGTACTTCAGTAAAAAGTACCCATAACTAGCAGCTGTTTTAAAGAGTACCTGACCTCCCTTTATATTAATAGAACAATAATGTCATTGTTAGCTAATGAATGTTTCCATGCTGAACAACGGCAACATTGACAACGTTTTCATTGGTCCCTCTTCTTTAGAGAAGACCAGGAAATGATGGATACACGGATCGTGTTCAAATCAATAGGCACGCAATGACTCTAAATAATAATGATCACGCCACCAAACACACATTCAAACTAAAGGAACCAGCCTGTTTGGGAAATGTGAGATTAGAAAGTACAGGTATTGTGTTCAACATGTAAGAAGTAGAAAGTACAGGTATTTGTGTTCAACATGTAAGAAGTAGAAAGTACAGGTATTTGGTTCAACATGTAAGAAGTAGAAAGTACAGGTATTTGGTTCAACATGTAAGAAGTAGAAAGTACAGGTATTTGGGTTCAACATGTAAGAAGTAGAAAGTACAGGTATTGGTTCAACATGTAAGAAGTAGAAAGTACAGGTATTTGTTTCAACATGTAAGAAGTAGAAAGTACAGGTATTTGTGTTCAACATGTAAGAAGTAGAAAGTACAGGTATTTGTTCAACATGTAAGAAGTAGAAAGTACAGGTATTTGGTTCAACATGTAAGAAGTAGAAAGTACAGGTATTTGTGTTCAACATGTAAGAAGTAGAAAGTACAGGTATTTGTTCAACATGTAAGAAGTAGAAAGTACAGGTATTTGTGTTCAACATGTAAGAAGTAGAAAGTACAGGTATTTGTGTTCAACATGTAAGAAGTAGAAAGTACAGGTATTTGGTTCAACATGTAAGAAGTAGAAAGTACAGGTATTTGGTTCAACATGTAAGAAGTAGAAAGTACAGGTATTGTGTTCAACATGTAAGAAGTAGAAAGTACAGGTATTTGTGTTCAAATGTAAGAAGTAGAAAGTACAGGTATTTGTGTTCAACATGTAAGAAGTAGAAAGTACAGGTATTTGGTTCAACATGTAAGAAGTAGAAACAGGTATTTGTTCAACATGTAAGAAGTAGAAAGTACAGGTATTTGTGTTCAACATGTAAGATAGAAAGTACAGGTATTTGTGTTCAACAGTAAGAAGTAGAAAGTACAGGTATTTGGTTCAACATGTAAGAAGTAGAAAGTACAGGTATTTGTGTTCAACATGTAAGAAGTAGAAAGTACAGGTATTTGTGTTCAACATGTAAGAAGTAGAAAGTACAGGTATTTGGTTCAACATGTAAGAAGTAGAAAGTACAGGTATTTGTGTTCAAATGTAAGAAGTAGAAAGTACAGGTATTTGGGGTTCAACATGTAAGAAGTAGAAAGTACAGGTATTTGTGTTCAACATGTAAGAAGTAGAAAAGTACAGGTATTTGGGTTCACATGTAAGAAGTAGAAAGTACAGGTATTGTAGTTCAACATGTAAGAAGTAGAAAGTACAGGTATTTGGTGTTCAAATGTAAGAAGTAGAAAGTACAGGGTATTTGGGGTCAACATGTAAGAAGTAGAAAGTACAGGTATTTGGGTTCACATGTAAGAAGTAGAAAGTACGGTATTTGGGTTCAACATGTAGAAGTAGAAAGTACAGGTATTTGTGTTCAAATGTAAGAAGTAGAAAGTACAGGTATTTGGGTTCAAACATGTAAGAAGTAGAAAGTAACAGGTATTTGTGTTCAACATGTAAGAAGTAGAAAGTACAGGTATTGTGTGTTCAAATGTAAGAAGTAGAAAGTAACAGGTATTTGTGTTCAACATGTAAGAAGTAGAAGTACAGGTATTTGTGTTCAACATGTAAGAAGTAGAAAGTACAGGTATTTGGTGTTCAACATGTAAGAAGTAGAAAAGTACATGTATTTGTGTTCAACATGTAAGAAGTAGAAAGTACAGGGTATTTGTGGTTCAAAATGTAAGAAGTAGAAAAGTACAGGTATTTGGGTTCAAAATGTAAGAAGTAGAAAGTAACGGTTATTTGTGTTCACATGTAGAAGTAGAAAGTACAGTATTGTGTTCAACATGTAAGAAGTAGAAAGTACAGGTATTTGGGTTCAACATGTAAGAAGTAGAAAGTACAGGTATTTGGGTTCAACATGTAAGAAGTAGAAAGTACAGGTATTTGGGTTCAACATGTAAGAAGTAAAAGTAAAAAGTCATCAGAAAAATAAGTAGTGGAGTAAAGTACTGATACCAGACAAATGTACTTAAGTACAGTAACGAAGTATTTGTACTCCACTACTTCCCACCTCTGCTGTATTTGTACAGATGTGTTGTTAGAGCCAGTATTTTGCTTTTATAAGAAAGGCCACCTAATCGTGACGTCTGTAGTCAACAGAGTATAAAAGACTACAATTTCCAGGGCGCCCTCCTCTAAAGTGACAGAGATGTCAGAAAAGACGCCGTCGAGGCTCAGTTTTTAACCGTTCAATTATCCTTTAAGTTATACAAGCCTTAACAAAGAGAGAAAGCAAGAAAGCATACCTAAGTTGTTTGTTTCTTTATTTGAGTTTTGCCTCTCTGTTGTGACTTTTGTAAAGGCCTCTTTTCTTTGTTGCATGTGTAAACAGTTTGCTATTTTATTTTGAGCATTGCACAACATCATCCAAACCATCGGAGGCCAAGCAACTCATCGACTGTGAGTAACACGAATATAAAGGAAAGAAAACGAGGTAAAAATGTCTGTTGAAGGCGTCTAGTGTCTTGATAGAAAACAAGGAAGGAAGCCACGACATTATAGAACATTACAGATATTGTGAAACTGGGACTTACTGGAACGGGATCGCTGCGAGTGGCGATCTCCAGCAGAATGATGGAGTAACTGTGAAGACATGCAGAGGGTATTAACTGTGTGTGTGTGTGTGTGTGTGTGTGTGTGTGTGTGTGTGTGTGTGTGTGTGTGTGTGTGTGTGTGTGTGTGTGTGTGTGTGTGTGTGTGTCCTTGTGGGGACCCCGATAAAACGTCCCCACAAGGTGAACCATCACATTTTCTGTTCAGCTCAAGGTCGGGGTGGTGTTGGATTGTGGTCTCCCTGATATTTCATTGATAATATTATTATATTGGTTACTTTAAATACAGTCTTTCAGCGATATGCGCCCCCTACAGGATCCTCAGAGTTACTGAAAATATGTCCAATTAGTATTGAGTAATATTTTTTTAATTCATAATGATGGCCATGTTTATAAATTGTAAAAACCGTGTGGATATCATTTATTGTTTTGCTTCCTAACCAAGCCTAGAATATTCTCCCAGTTACATTTAAGGAACATTGTCGTTACGAAATGCATTAGCATTAGCATCATTAGCTCAAGTTCTTTGCAACACTGCAATTTCTCAAACCTTTTTATCTCAAATGAAAAGTCCCTGAAATCGGCATTCTGAAACTTTTAGTATAAATAATTATATGAAAGACTGTGTCTATGTCTTGCTTCAATTGTCAGATGTTTGCATTCTTACGATTTCAAATATGAAAAATTATTTGAATCTATATCAGAATCAGAATCAGGTTTATCACCAGGTAGGTGGACACGTACGAGGAATTTGACTTGGTGTTGTGGTGCATACATAAAGGTAAAACACTGATAGAGAACTATTTTAAGAAAACTATAATGACATTAAAACATTTTATTTTTAAAGATATAGCAGTGTTTACATTGAAATAGAATGGAATAAAATATGTGGAGTAATAACAAAAAACAGACATTGTGTGCATCCACGTGTGTTTTAAATAAAGTTGACATAAATGTTATTTGGGTGCACCTGAACACGTCTGCAGGGAGCGTGGGCTCCATGCTGGAGTTATGAAACTCAGGCGGCATGTAGACCTCCTGAAGTCTCTGCTGATAGGACGAAAGAGGCTCCGCCCCCTCGTGCCTGCGATACATTCTCAACCCGAAATCTGATAGATAAGATAAGATAAGATGGATCTTTATTTATCCCCGTGGGGAAATTCAGGCGTTCATAGCAGCAACAGGTCAGAGTTAAAAACAGGATTCACACGAGGGTAAAAATAGAATACAAATTAAAAGAATAATACAGCAAAAATAAAGTGATAAAGTAACTATTGAAATGTGTTAGAAAGCCTAACAATAATATATACAAGTTGGAAAACAGTGTCCCAAAGCTCACAATTAAACTATTCTCTATCTCTTTTATGCATGTTATTCCATTGTGTTTATTTATTGTGTTCATTTCTGTTGTCTTCTTGTTAAGTGTTAATGTCGATGTGAAGCACTTTGAATTGCCTCTGTGTCTGAGAATGTGCTGTATAAATAAACGTACCGTAACTTACCTAACTACGATAAAAGGTAAAGAGTTGTAAAAAATAAATGGAGAATATAGAGAAAATACAAGAGAAGTAGAAACAAAGGAGAGCTGCTACAAACAGGCGGCGCATATTTCAGCTCCATTTTCATCCCTTTTTGAACCTTCAAAATAACCAAACATTCCCAGATAGTTGTATATCTTATGTATAATCTTCACCTGTGATTTTGCAGACCCAGCGGTCGTCGATCACGCAGTTTACAGACTTCAGTCGGCCGTGACAGATCTTGTGTTGGTGGAGGTACGCCACGCCGCGCGCTATGTCTGTAGCGAAGGAAAACCTGCAGAGGGTAAAACACGGAGGGTTATATATTATTTACTTTTTAATTTTAAATGTACAAATTTAAACCCAACCCCATATATATAAAGACAGTAAGATTTAATTAAGAACATTGAGCGTTATAAGTTATTAGGATAACTTCAAGATATTTAGGATATCAGTCTAACCTAGTTTAATTTTAGGTTTAAGAATTAAAACTAAAATAAAGTCCAGGAGGAAGCCTCAACCTAAAAATGTAATTAAATTATTAAAGAAGTATGTTAAAAAATGTATTAAAATAATATGATTTCAAACTTTTGGAATAGTGTACTATGTAAAAAAACACATACATAAAGAAAAAGGCTTAACAGATAATACAGACGTTTATAATCCATCAATGTTTTCTGTTGACTTTCATTATTTACTCTCTTTTTCATTATTTACTCTCCTGATTATTATTTACTCTCCTGATTATTCCAAACCCTCATTACCATGACACAAGAGAGCCCTCTGTGTGAAGTAATTTATGTAACCCTAATTAAGTCAGCATGCTGTTGCATTTCAATTAAAGTGTGTGTGTGTGTGTGTGTGTGTGTGTGTGTGTGTGTGTGTGTGTGTGTGTGTGTGTGTGTGTGTGTGTGTGTGTGTGTGTGTGTGTGTGTGTGTGTGTGTGTGTGTGTGTGTGTGTGTGTGTGTGTGTGTGTGTGTGTACCTGAAGCCCCAGTTGAGTGGGATCTCCTCGTTAAGCAGAACGTCGTTAAGGCTTCCTTTGGGGCAGTACTCCGTCACTATGGCAACATCCGGCGGCTCAACGCAACCTCCGATAAACTTACACAGGTTTGGGTGGTCGAACTCCTGAAGACGGAAGAAATGTTAAATACTGAATATACAAATGTAATATGAAGGTAAAGCGTTATGTATTCTCATTTATAGCAGTTTGTGCCAGAGACAAGTTAACATTAAGGTTTAGTGTGTGTGTGGTGTGTGTGTGTGTGTGTGTGTGTGTGTGTGTGTGTGTGTGTGTTGTGTGTATGTGTTGTGTGTGTGTGTGTGTGTGTGGTGTGTGTGTGTGTGTGTGAGTGTGTGTGAGTGGTGTGTGTGAGTGGCTGTGTGTGTGTGTGTAGGTGTGTGTGTGTGTGTGCGAGCGTGGGTGTGTGTGTGTTTGTGCGTGTGTGTGCTTGCTGTGTAGTGCGTGGTGGTGTGCGTCGTGCTGTGAGTGGGGGTGTGCCGTGGTGTTGTGCCTGTGTGTGGTGTGGTGGTGTAGTGCGTGTGTGTGCCGTGTGTGGTGTGTTGTGTGTTCGTGTGTGTGACGTGCGTGGTGGGTGTGTGCTTGTGTGGTGTGTAGGTGTGCGAGTGTGGGTGTGTGCCTTGTGTGTGTTGTTGTGATGTGAGTGAGTGCGTGCGTTGCGGTGTGGTGTGTGTGCGGTTGGGGGGGGGGTTGTGGGGGATGTGTGTGTTTGTGTGTGTGTTGTGGTGGTAAGTGTGGTGTGTGTGTGCCGTGTGTGTGGTGTTGTGTGTGGTGTTGTGTGATGTGTGTAGTGTGCAGTGTGCGTGTGTGTGTGGAGTGTGAGTGTGACGTGTGGAGTGGTCGATGTGGCTGTGTGTGTGTGTGTGTGTGTGTGTGTGTGTGTGAGTGTGTGTTTGGTACCTGACTTGTTTGACTTCCTGTCTGATGGTTTTGGACAGGGAGAAGGTTTTGGTTTGAATCCTCTTGATGGCCACCGTCCTGCCATCACTGGAAAGTAAAAATAATATTTTGAATACAGGAAGTTTTCTCTTCTACTTCTACTACTGCTTTCACTTTGGACAACATAGCTTTCTTTAGTCTGAAGCGAAACAAAGAAAGGCTTCTTCAGTGTTGCATGGATGCTGTTAGAGCCAGTATTTAGTTTTTATAAGAAAGGCCTAATCGTGACGTCTGTAGTCAACAGAGTATAAAAGACTACAATTCCCACAGCGCCTCCTCTAAAGTGACAGAGACGTTAGAAAGACATCGAGGCTCAGTTTTTAAACCGTTCAATTACCCTTTAAATTATTTTGAGCATTGCACAACATCATCCAAAGGAAAGAAAACGAGTTAGAAATGTGTGTGTAAGGCGTCTATTGGCTTGATGGAAGAACAAGGAAGGAAGCCAGATGAGGTTTGATATGACTGAGCGTACTATATCCCGGTGCAGGTGAACGGGGTTTTCCGGCTCCCAGGTTGTCCGTTGTAGCAGCTGAGCGCCGTCACACAGCTGGTGTTACTGTCGCTGTTCCCCACCGGCGCACTCATCAGACTGCCCATCGTCATCCGGGCCTCCTGGTCTGTAACGGTTTAAAATAAGTTCAACAGCAATTCTAAATGCATGCTTTTTTATGACCATAAACTTTATAAAAGACAGCAAAGTTGTACTATTCTGTATATAATTACCTTAAAGTTAAACTAATCTGTGCTGAGCTGAAGGAAAAACAATGTGGTTTACGGTGCTAAATTGGAATACTTCAAAATGCAGGTTTGGACACATTTTGCGTCCATTTAAGACTAATTTCAGATCTTTCTAAACCAGCGTAGACCAGATCTGTTTGGTCCAGTTTCAGACCTCTTGTGAACCAGTTTATCGACCAGTTTATAGACCAGTTCCTCACCAGTTTATAGACCAGTTCCTCACCAGTTTAGACCAGTTTATAGACAAGTTCCTCACCAGTTTATAGACCAGTTCCTCGCCAGTTTATAGACCAGTTCCTCACCAGTTTATAGACCAGTTCCTCACCAGTTTATAGACCAGTTCCTCACCAGTTCATAAACCAGTTTATAGACCAGTTCCTCACCAGTTTATAGACCAGTTCCTCACCAGTTTATAGACCAGTTCCTCACCAGTTTATAGACCAGTTCCTCACCAGTTTATAGACCAGTTTATAGACAAGTTCCTCACCAGTTTATAGACCAGTTCCTCGCCAGTTTATAGACCAGTTCCTCACCACTTTATAGACCAGTTCCTCACCAGTTCATAGACCAGTTTATAGACCAGTTCCTCACCAGTTTATAGACCAGTTCCTCACCAGTTCACCCCAGTTTCAGAGCAGTTTATCCCATCTGATGCTGATAGTACCTTGTTTTATCTTGGAGAAGTCGATGATCCAGCTCTCGTCCCACAGGAGCTTCTGTTTCTGGTACCTCAGCCACTGCACAACACAGTGTTATTGATTAGGTTTCATATCCTGTATTATTTTGTAGTGTTTTCCAGGTTTTCTCTCGTCAGATCCTCACCACGGCGGTCAGGACGAAGCAGAGGCAGAGCAGGCTGAGCGGCAGGCCGATGGACAGTTTGGTGGTTGGAGTCATCGGGCATTCACCACAATCCGCCGAACACGTAGAACAAAGCTCCGCCTCCTCACAGACGCCATCTCCACACACTTAGAAACCAGAAAACAGGAGCTACTTGTTTATGGTTTAAGCGAAGGGAGAGTATTAAGGGTAATTGGACCGCTAAGGGTAGCCAAAACCCGGCCCTAAAGGTACCTGTGAATACCTGTTATACCCAGAAATAATGGGGTATGATACTTGTTGTCTACATGGTCACAGAAAATAGGAGCTACTTATTTATAGTTTAACAGTAGGTAGGGTATTAAGGGTTATTGGACCACTAAGGGTTGCCAAAATCACCAAAACCCAGCCCTAAAGGTACCTCAGAATACCCGTTATACCCACAAACAAAGCTGTATGATACGTGTTGTCTACATGGTCACTCAGTAAAAGAAAGGTGGATGTGACTGACCTACAGCCGGCTCCACGGTGCTCTTGGCCTCCAGAGCGACCTGCATGCGTCCGACTCGAATGTGAGCGATGAGCGAGGTCAAACCGGAGTGAACCAGAACCACCTGGGGGTCAGAGGTCAGAGGTCAGAGGAACTGGGTCAGAACTGGAAGAGTTATCTGAGAGTTTGGTGTTTTTGGAGGTGGTTTGTTAAAAAAACAAGGAAGGAAGAACGTTATAAACAGTAGAGATGTTACGTAGTGTATCATCTGTATAAAGAGATTATTTCTGTACATTTAGAAACGACTACAGGTTTAAAGTAGTGTTTCGTCTGTGAGTGTTAAGAGATTAGCATGTGTCAGGATATCATCCTCATATGTTTTAACGTTTAGGTTGAACTGCAGAGAATAGGAAGTGAAATATATTTGTACAATTGGGATCTAATGAGTTAATGTTGTTTGTGGACTTTATACTTATTTGTACGAACTGCCGCTTCCCATCTCTAGCTCCTATCACACCTTGATGTACAGAAGGAGGATCAGTCCCTCTTCTGAGATACTTGATAAAGCTCTGTGTCACCTTGGAGGTCCAGTTGCTCTGCGTCATCTTCCCCGCGGTGGAGATGGTGTGAGTGAAGATCTTCCCGTCGTCAGGGATCCAGGGACCGCAGATGCTCTCCGTCTGAAACAAAAAGCTGAGTGTCGTTTGGGTTCCTCCTCGGCCGAAGCTCAACCCTTCAACAAACCTTTCTAAAAACCAGGCTGGAGGTTGTTCCCTTCATCCCGCTGATAAAAAACTGAAATGGTGGCGATAAAATATAAAATGGCTTCTTTAAAATGAGGAGTATATTGGACTGTAGTATTGTAATATGTAGGATGACCTTAACCCATCTTTTATCTTATTTCTGTTATACCTGTTATTTACGTTCTCATTGTTATTATTGATTTGATTTCTATACGTTTTGTTGAATTCTTCAGGATTTGAGAGCTTCTACATGTTGTGAGCCCTTGTTAAAGAAACGGTTCCTCTAAACTGGAGGGGAATGTGAGAAAATAACTAATAAGAATATGTTAAAAAGAAGTCAGATGTGTACCATGTGTCCCAGAGGACAGGAGTGGATGTTGGCGTGGTGGATGCAGCAGTTTTCTCCGTCAGCGTCTTTCCAGTTGGTCGGACAGTCGATGTTTTCACAGAACCTCCGAGCTGCGTCTGCGTCCACGATGGCACTAAAGATTACAAAGAGGTTCAAACCAGACGAAATCCAGTTTGGACAGAGTGTTAGACAGAGTGTTAGACAGAGTGTTAGAGCCATTTGGGTAAACAAATACGGTAATTAAGAAGCCATGTGAGGGAGTTCATTCTCTGAGAAAAAAAAACCTCTTGTTTTTCTAATCTTCAATTTGTACATTCACAAATAAATGTCAGGGGTCTAATGTAAAATAATTAGGTTTAGACAAAAAACGAAATTAAAATTACTCATCTAAGAGAAAATAAATGCTGGACCTGTGAGTGAAGATGTGGTTCTCAGTAGAACACACTAACCTGTGAGTGAAGATGTGGTTCTCAGTAGAACACTCTAACCTGTGTGTGAAGATGTGGTTCTCAGTAGAACACACTAACCTGTGAGTGAAGATGTGGTTCTCAGTAGAACACACTAACCTGTGAGTGAAGATGTGGTTCTCAGTAGAACACACTAACCTGTGAGTGAAGATGTGGTTCTCAGTAGAACACACTAACCTGTGAGTGAAGATGTGGTTCTCAGTAGAACATACTAACCTGTGACTGAAGATGTGGTTCTCAGTAGAACATACTAACCTGTGAGTGAAGATGTGGTTCTCAGTAGAACACTCTAACCTGTGTGTGAAGATGTGGTTCTCAGTAGAACACTCTAACCTGTGTGTGAAGATGTGGTTCTCAGTAGAACACACTAACCTGTGAGTGAAGATGTGGTTCTCAGTAGAACACACTAACCTGTGAGTGAAGATGTGGTTCTCAGTAGAACACACTAACCTGTGAGTGAAGATGTGGTTCTCAGTAGAACACACTAACCTGTGTGTGAAGATGTGGTTCTCAGTAGAACACACTAACCTGTGAGTGAAGATGTGGTTCTCAGTAGAACACACTAACCTGTGAGTGAAGATGTGGTTCTCAGTAGAACACACTAACCTGTGAGTGAAGATGTGGTTCTCAGTAGAACACTCTAACCTGTGTGTGAAGATGTGGTTCTCAGTAGAACACTCTAACCTGTGTGTGAAGATGTGGTTCTCAGTAGAACACTCTAACCTGTGTGTGAAGATGTGGTTCTCAGTAGAACACACTAACCTGTGAGTGAAGATGTGGTTCTCAGTAGAACACACTAACCTGTGAGTGAAGATGTGGTTCTCAGTAGAACACACTAACCTGTGAGTGAAGATGTGGTTCTCAGTAGAACATACTAACCTGTGAGTGAAGATGTGGTTCTCAGTAGAACACACTAACCTGTGTGTGAAGATGTGGTTCTCAGTAGAACACACTAACCTGTGAGTGAAGATGTGGTTCTCAGTAGAACACACTAACCTGTGTGTGAAGATGTGGTTCTCAGTAGAACACACTAACCTGTGAGTGAAGATGTGGTTCTCAGTAGACCACACTAACCTGTGAGTGAAGATGTGGTTCTCAGTAGAACACACTAACCTGTGAGTGAAGATGTGGTTCTCAGTAGAACACACTAACCTGTGAGTGAAGATGTGGTTCTCAGTAGAACACACTAACCTGTGAGTGAAGATGTGGTTCTCAGTAGAACACACTAACCTGTGAGTGAAGATGTGGTTCTCAGTAGAACATACTAACCTGTGAGTGAAGATGTGGTTCTCAGTAGAACACACTAACCTGTGTGTGAAGATGTGGTTCTCAGTAGAACACACTAACCTGTGAGTGAAGATGTGGTTCTCAGTAGAACACACTAACCTGTGTGTGAAGATGTGGTTCTCAGTAGAACACACTAACCTGTGAGTGAAGATGTGGTTCTCAGTAGACCACACTAACCTGTGAGTGAAGATGTGGTTCTCAGTAGAACACACTAACCTGTGAGTGAAGATGTGGTTCTCAGTAGAACACACTAACCTGTGAGTGAAGATGTGGTTCTCAACGGCCCAGCTGTAGAACGCCTCTCCGGCGCTCACAGAGTACGAGACGCTGAACGGTTCTCCGCTCTTCACGGTGTCTGGAGGGCGGAGCAGCCACGCCATCTCCAGACCTGAGAGGGGTCAACATCTGAGGAATTACCAGTTTTACCACCATTTCATATTTATGGTAAGTCAACAGTCTGAGCCTCTTTGAGGGTCGGCAGGAGAAAACCAGCCCAGTCTCACAACACAAGGTGTAATAGCTGCGTTTGTCCACTGGGCAAAACGTAGTATATTCACAAATAACCCTCTCAAGACGTGACATGGATACAATATGTGTTCCTATTCATTTCTAATGACCGGTGTCCGTGTCACGTGATCGCAAACTTTCTCAGTGAGAAAAAAAAACATGGCGGACACCCGATTTATTTTTAGTGGAAAATCCTAAATTGAAGGAGAGTTTGGCGTTAAAATGCTTTTTGATTACATTTCTAGCGATACGTTTATATTGTGCTTTTAGAATCTACATCCAGTGGATGTTTAGGATCCATCGTTTGATAGATATTACCAAGATGATTTGAGCTCCATGGTTTTTTTTACTAAATATTGAGGGGGATATTTGTGAACATACCACGTTCTGCCCGGTGGACAAACGGAGCTATTACAGGCTAAAACTCTTGTGTTTTTCTAATCTCCAATTTCTAAATTTACACAAATAAATCCGGGCTGTAATGTAAAACAATTAGGTTTAGACAAAAAACGGAATGAGAAATAAAGCTTAAAAATTGGGACATATTTAGGAGAAATAACTTGTTTTTCACATTTAGAGAGTATTCAAATTCTTTGTTTATTAATCCTTAATAAACGTAATGTCAGAGCAGGAGTAAAGGGGATAATAAAACTGCCTTAGGATGAGTCAGTTCTTCTGTTTTATATATGAGTCATTTTGAGTCAAATTTGAGTCATTTTGCATCTATTTTTCAGTCATTTTTACATATTTAGTGTAAAGATGAGTGGATGTTTGCCTCTGTGCATCTCTGGGATAGTTTGATATTATTTAAGGGCGTTCTGCTTTAAGTCCTTTTACGTAGATGTTGTTCCTTTGTCTTTACATAACGGTGTCTCAGAGTCTCTTTATAACCGACCTGCTGTAATCTAAATATATAAAAGCACATGTTAGCGAGTACAGAAGAGTTCTCTGACCTCCACAGTCCATCATGTTGTACTCGTTGGGTTTGTCCAGAGGCCAGCAGTCGTACTCGCTGTTATCCAGATCGTGCCAACAGCAGGTCGGACACACACACACCTGACACACACACACACACACACACACACACACACACACACACACACACACACACACACACACACACACACACACACACACATATGTTATTGTACGCACGCAGACACCAGACAGATAACGTAGCCTATTGCAATGAACCTGCTTCTGATTGTCCATCAGGTGATTAATGAAAGCCGATTACATTCAAATTATTTTAAATCATATTAAATATTTTCAGTGTATAATAATTAAAAAATAAAGACAAAGAAACTACATTATATTAAATAACTGAGTAAATATTCATATAAGTAGGACTGGTCAAAGTTGAACAAAATGTAATTGAACATGTTCTTTATTTCTGAAGGGTTAAATAATGTAAACGCAGACGATGTGATGGGTTGGATAAAAATGTCGAGTTTGAAACCAAATCATCAACACTAAATAACCTGGTTGATTTGCATCCATTTCTTATCTTTTTGCATTTATTTTCAGTCATTTTGAGTTGTTTGAAAAGGCTTTTCTTTGCAACTGATGAAGAATCACTTTTCATATCATTCTCTACATTTACTCATCCAATAGAAAGCTGAATAACAATCAATATAATCAATTAATAAACCTATGAATTAACACTTTCAGACGAGTTAAAGGCAGATTAAGATGTGAAGACTTACCCAGAGCACGAACCAAAAACTGTCCTTCATGATGCTGATCCACAGAGAGAGAGAGAGAGAGAGAGAGAGAGAGAGAGAGAGAGGAGAGAGAGAGAGAGAGAGAGAGAGAGAGAGAGAGAGAGAGAGAGAGAGATGAGCCCCTAGAGAGCCTCTTCCTTCAGAGATCCGAGGATCGAGAGACGATAGCAGAGCCGAGCTTTGTCTATCTAGAGAGCTTCATGAACGCATAAGATGAGATACTGAGAGGACGTCTCTATGATAGCGGAGACGGAGATTCGTATACGAGGGAGAATTGGGCAGCAGAGAGAGAGTCAGAAAGTTGACCCCAGACACTTTATCCTCGAGAAGGGGAGAGGGAGAAGAGAGAGACAGGTGTGAGACAGACAGGTGAGAGACAGACAGGTAGAGACAGACAGGTGAGAGACAGACAGGTAGAGAGACAGACAGGTGAGAGACAGACAGGTGAGAGACAGACAGGTAGAGAGACAGACAGGTGAGAGAGAGACAGGTGAGAGAGGACAGGTGAGAGAGAGAGAGACAGGTGAGAGAGAGACAGGTGAGAGACAGACAGGTGAGAGACAGACAGGTAGAGACAGACAGGTGAGAGACAGACAGGTAGAGAGACAGACAGGTGAGAGAGAGACAGGTGAGAGACAGACAGGTGAGAGAGAGACAGGTGAGAGACAGACAGGTGAGAGACAGACAGGTGAGAGAGAGACAGGTGAGAGACAGACAGGTGAGAGAGAGACAGGTGAGAGACAGACAGGTGAGAGACAGACAGGTAGAGAGACAGACAGGTGAGAGAGAGACAGGTGAGAGAGAGACAGGTGAGAGACAGACAGGTAGAGAGACAGACAGGTGAGAGACAGACAGGTGAGAGACAGACAGGTGAGAGACAGACAGGTGAGAGAGACAGACAGGTGAGAGACGAGGACAGGTAGAGAGACGACAGGTAGAGAGACAGACAGGTGAGAGAGAGACAGGTGAGAGAGAGACAGGTGAGAGAGAGACAGGTGAGAGAGAGACAGGTGAGAGAGAGACAGGTGAGAGAGAGACAGGTGAGAGACAGACAGGTGAGAGAGAGACAGGTGAGAGACAGACAGGTGTAGAGAGACAGACAGGTGAGAGGAGCAGACAGGTGAGGAGACAGACAGGTGAGAGAGAGACAGGTGAGAGACAGACAGGTTAGAGAGGCAGACAGGTCGAGAGGACATGTGTCTCCTCTCACGGATGAATCCTCAGTGAGGAGCTCAGCAGGAGAGAGGAGGAGAAAACAAAAACAAATAAACGGAGTGTTTCTGTCTCCCTCTGCCGGCGAGAAGCTGCTCCTGCACTCTGACCATAAATACACGGTTTGTTTACATCATTTTATACCGTTTTTATTCCTCAGGTCACAAACCACTATAATAATGACCAGAATAAAACATGATATTCTTCAATCTCAATCTTTATTTATACAGCACATTTAAAACAACCTGAGTGACCATGCTGCTGTACAGGGAACCATTAGAACAATATAGAATAACACAATAGGAGTAAAATAATAAAACAATATATAGCCCACAATATTCCTCTGGACCTGCCTCATGTGACCGGAAACAGCTGTTATGATGACGTCACAGCTTCATTAGCTTCCGGGCAGATCTCCAGCTGTTGACTGTCAACACTCAGGCAGCACGCTGACACACACACACACACACACACACACACACACACACACACACACTGTGTTTATGTCACAACATGGAGTGTGTGAGAGGAGGAGCGTGATTAAACACTTCCTCTCTTTTACACATTTATAAATACATTTCATGCATCAATAATAAATACAAACGTTATATCAAGAAGTAACATATACAACTACATTTAAATAAAGGCATTCTTATATAAAAAAAACACTTTATTTGAAACGAAAAGGAAAATCTGAAATTATTTCAGTTTTTTCCTCCCGTTCTATCCGGCACGCGCCAGCACCCGTTGGAATCCTGAGAGCCAATCAGAGCGTGCGCGAGGACCCTCTCTCCTCTATCTGCAGCATTAGGAACGTTCCGGGCGAACCGACCGGATTTTAACACCTTCAGAAACACAATAAGGGATCATTTTAACGTCAAAAGCCGTCGTTTTAAACACTTTTTCTAATTCAGTTGTGTCTATTGTAACGTTTTGGATCTTTCTAGAGGAGGATTTACCGTTATTTACACGGTAACAACTTGACAAGTGAATGTTTTTAACGTTTCAAACCGGTGACTTTTTAGATGTTTAAGGACTCGCCGTCTTTTAACACTTAAAGCACTCATTTCATTTAATAACCTTTAGCTTTTTTCGTCTTAAATCCAGTTTCTGCCCGTTTCCCCCACATTTCATCTCTTTGTTCACCGTCTTTAAACCGGCACCGGGATGAGTCTCCGGACCAGGAGCGGCTTTTAGCCCGTGTTTTGTCCCGGGTTAAAGCGGGATAATGCTGGCCCGGTTCAGCCTGGTTCTGCTGCTCTGGTTCTGTGCGAGGAGCTGGGGACAGGAAGTGGACTACAACAGGTTCATATCTCTCTATTATCTCGTTATTATTGATATTTGTTGAATTAACGAACATTTATTCTTCATAGAGACATTTCTAGACATGCTGTAAATTCCCAAAAGTGATTTAACTGTGACGTTAATTCACTTTATGGTGTTTTAAATAAACTAGAATTCATATTTATGTTGCTCTGGTCTCTTTTAAAGGGACAAACCTGTAAAATATTTCAACATATGAGTTATTCATTACATCAAATACTCTGCAGTGTGTGCAGTGGGTCCTCAATAAAGTTATTTGTTTGATGCAATACTTCTGATCTTTGCTGACTGCTTTGAAGCTGCATGGATGTATGGAGTTATGGAGAACTTAGCAGCTGTGTTGATAAGAGCAGGATGCCTCTACAAGCTGTTCCTTAGCCTCTGGATCGTGCAGTGTTTCTAGTCACACAACACATCAGCTCGGACTCTGAGACACTGAGGAACATTTTCTGAAATGTTTTACAGCAAACAGCTGATTAAATTATCAACAAGTGACAGAACAACATGTTTCCAGCCGCAAATATTCAGACCTGCTGCTTGTGTCTGTTCTTTGTGAAACTAGGAGGGACTTCTTCCACTTTATTCCTTTATCATTTCATCTGGAAGCTTTAATGCACTCATAATGCACTCATGTGTCAGAGTACAAACCATGAACACAGTAGAGTATCCAATCAAATGTCTTTTTAATCAGAGGTAGAGGAGACAGAATAATAATCACTGCTTTACACAGAAAGCGTGAGAGAGAAAGTATGTGCTTCCTCTCTCTATCATTCATGTTCAGACAGGAGCGTGGAAACAGGAGAACACACACACACACACACACACACACACACACACACACACACACACACTCTCTGATCCGGTCTGAACCAGCCTCTGCGTGTTAAACCCTAAAGTACACTTCCTCCTGCAGTGATTTACAGCCTCTCACCGAGTGCAGCTGCAGAACGAGGCAATACAACGTAGAAA